AAAACTGTTCAAATACATACAAAACATTCAACGTTGGTTAGGAAGGAGGGGTCATTGAGGGAATGCCAAATGAAACAAAAGAGACCCAATTCTGCATCTAGTCTCTGGCAGAGGGCTTTTCCCATTTGTTAAGTGGCAAGTGGGGATGTGCAAAAACTCGCTGGTATTTTTGGGTTCAGGTATATTGAACCCCAAAAGTGTTGGTATTTCCCGATATTCCCAAATCCCATGGTATGGTATTGGGATTCAGGAAATATTTGGGAAATCTAATTTTTTTCAACTCCATTGTACCCTACAGCAGGGGTGTCAAATATGCGGGCAATCTGCAGCATAGATCCTGGCACCTCTCCTCAATCCCCCCCCCAAGTTTTACAAAGATTGGACCAGGGGATCCATGTCTATGAGCCCCCAAAGAAGGTGCCCTAATCCTCCAATGCTTTCAGTGGAGGAATAAAAGGCAGTTAAAGTGACCATGGTCTCTTTAAATGCCTTTTGAGTTCACTCGCTGAGTCAGGCCACGACAGCACAGCTTGGAGAAGCCTTTGAAAGAGACCCTCGGCTTTTATCCGGGCTCAGCTATATCTGTAGCTGAATCAGATTCTCTAAATACCTTAACGATATTGGGGGGGGGTGTTTCTTTTTGGATGAACTGAACACATACCCCTAGTGGCATTGCCTGAACCTAGGACTTCCTGCACACCAAGCAGATGTTCTACCACCGAGCCACAGCTGAGCACAAAATGCAATAGGTGGTGATCTGTGGGACAGTCAGATCGTAAATCCCGTTGAACGTCAGGTAGGGAAGCTGGAGATTCTTAAGAACCTCTACGCCCAGGATATCCATTGGCTGTTCCATCAGAGGGCATTTCTCCTCTGCCCAGTTGTGGCTACCCTGGAAGGTGCTGAATATGTGATCTTCCATGACTTCCACTGCCAGCAGATGCCAGATTGTCCTATGTCTCCAGTAGATCATGGTCCCTTTTCTGGGTCACTGACCTTGGCAAATGCCCAGTACCAGTTCTGATGTCAGCTGTCCTGAGAAATCTCAAAACAGCATAATATCTTCACATTATTTATAGATTTCTGTTTGTTTAATTTATACCCTGCCTTTCCCCACAAGTGGAGCTGCGGTGGCTCAAGTGGTTAAGACGCTGAGCAGCGGACCAGAAGGTCGGTAGTTCGGCAGTTCGAGACCCAAGTGCCACGTGACGGAGTGAGCTCCCGTCTCTGGCCCCAGCTCCTGCCAACCTAGCAGTTCAAAAGCAAGAAATTGCAAGTAGATAAATAGGTACCACTTCGGTGGGAAGGTAACAGCATTCCGTGCACCTCGGCATTTAGTCATGTCGGCCACATGACCACGGAAAAGTCTTTGGGCAGCGCTGGCTCTTCGGCTTGGAAACAGAGATGAGCACCGCATCCCTAGAGTCGGATTCGACTGGCTTTAGAGCAAGGGAAACCCCTTTACCTTCACCTTTCCCCACAATGGGGACCCAAAGCAGATGACATTGTTTCCCTCCCCCATTTTATCCTCGCAACAATCCTGCGAGGCAAGCTAGGCTGAGGCGGGTGACCGGACGGCCCAGGGTCATCCAGCAAGAGTGGCAGAGTGGTGATTCAAACTGGTGTCTCCTGGATCCCAGTCTGGCACACTCTGAGCACAACACCACACTGTATCAGGAGATGGTGAAGACTGCTTGCATGTGCTTAGGGGCCTGGTCTGCAAATGTTACAGAAAAATAGCCATTGAATGTTTGTCATGACACACTGACAATCTTTTGAAAGCAAATTCATTTGAAATCTCATCACAAGCCACAAATAAGTGCTGAAGGGGTGCCCGGGGGGATGTTTGGGACGGTCAGTTTGGCATAGTGGTTAAGTGCGCAGACTCTAATCTGGGAGAAGCGGGTTTGATTCCCCACTTCTCCACATGCAGCCAGCTGAGTGACCTTGGGTCAGTCACAAGTTCTCTCAGAGAGCCAGTTTGGTGTCGTGGTTAAGAGCGGCAGACTCTAATCTGGGAGAACCGGGTTTGATTCCCCACTCCTCCACAAGCAGCCAGCTGAGTGATCTTGGGTCAGTCAAAGCTCTCTCTGAACCCTCTCAGCCCCACCAACCGCACAGAGTGTCTGTTGTGGGGAGAGGAAGGGAAGGCGATTGTAAGCCACCCTGAGACTCCTTAAGGTAGAGAAAAGCAGAGTATAAAAACATACCCTTCTTCTCTTCTTCTTTGATTGCAGTGGGACCCACACCCTTTGGCGACTCTCTGGGATGTCTTCGGGGTACAAATTGCTCAACGTTTGGGTTTTTTAAAAAACTTTATTATTTAGAAACAGATATATACAAAATACAGATGTCTTTGTTTGCGTGATACATAACATTGATTCAGCAAGACGTATGGGCTACAAAGAAAGAACATCCTAATTCATAATTCAGTGAGACAAGGAGAGTATAAATGAAATCTGACAGCTCACTAAATCATGATAGTATAAGAAAATACATGTTGATTAACTTGCCCGTACAGCTACAAAATAAAATGAACATGGTCCTATCAACATGAACGACTAAAATATCTCATAACTATTCCTGCTATTTAATATTATAAAAAGTAAACTTTGATTTATAATGAGAATGGTTCTGTAATTTCTCAGATTATGAAGATCGACTCCACACAGAGATTGCTCAGAGAAGCTCATAGCAAACATAAGGAGAAATTCCCTGTAGAACTTAGTTGCTGTAGATTTTCCGGGCTGTGCGGCCGTGGTCTTGGCATTGTAGGACCTGATGTTTCGCCAGTAGCTGTGACTGGCATCCTCAGAGGTATAACACAGAAAGATGGAGTACTCTCTGTGTCCATGTGAGAAGAAAAATGGTCGGCAGGTAATTTATATCCACTCAGGAAAGTGGAGTGGTGCTGAGTACCTTCCTGAGTAGATATAAATTACCTGCCTACCATTTTTCTTCTCACCTTGACACAGAGAGTCCTCCATCTTTCTGTGTTATACCTCTAAGGATGCCAGTCACAGCTACTGGCGAAATATCAGGTCCTACAAGACCACGGCCACACAACCCGGGAAATCTACAGCAACCAATGAACTCCGGCCGTGAAAGCCTTCGACAACGTATTCCCTGTAGAACCTTATCCTTCCGGAATGTTATGAACATAGCCCAACATTCCATACATAAACTTATTTGAAGTAGCCAAAGATCTCTTCTGATATGGCTCGATGGGTTTTAAAATATGATTTTATCATGTATGTTTTAATCTATTAGACTTTGGTGGCCCTTGTGAGGGCAGGGGGATATAAATGTTAAAATATAAAAATAAAATAAAAAGTTACGCCCCTGGTCTTCAATCCACCTAGGCTTGTTAGGTATAGAACCATAGAGTTGGAAGGGGCCATACAGACCATCTATTCCAACCCCCTGCCCAAGGCAGGACCAGCCTGAAGCATCTCTGACAAATACCACTCTGACCGTGAACAAGTTTTTCCGAATATCCAGCCGATACTTTTCTGCATGCAATTTAAACCCGTCACTTCCCCCTAAGGTCCCCACCACCTTCACCCCGTCTACCAATTCTTCCCTGTTGGTTAATATTAAGTCTAGTATGGCCGAGCCCCTTGTAGCTTCCTCCACCATTTGAAAAAGGAAGTTGTTGACCAGACAGGTCAGAAAGTTTCATAATTCTTGTAGCTTTCTTGAGCCTGTCTCCCAGCACACATCGGGGAAGCTGAAGTCTGCCATAATTATAAGGTTCTGGTGTCTGGATCAAGATTCCTTCTAAGCTGCTGAGTCCTGTGAGCAAAAATCCTACTTTGTGAGTCACCGGCATTAAAGTGGTGAGCCGACGATTTGGCTGCTGCAGAAATTAGTTTGCCCTGGAGCCATCCTTCCTGAGCTAAGGCAAAAAGCTGTGAGCCGGAGGCTGAAAAACTGTGAGCCAGCTCACCCTAACTCAGCTTAGAGGGAACACTGGTCTGGATACTCTACCAGTCTCTTCAAGAAGGGCAGCATCCCTTTCCTGTCCCTGGTCCAGCGGTCTGTAGCAGACTCCAGCAACAATACCCTTTGTCCTACCTCCCCTTATTTCCACCCATATACGTCCCACGGGGCTGTCAACCCCATTCTCCAGAACGTCCTGACAATCTAGCCCTCGCTTCACATACAGCGCCACTCCGCCTCCTCTTCTACCCTTCCTGTTTTTCTTGAACAACTCGTACCCATCCACTGCCACATCCCAGTCATGAGAATCATCCCACCAAGTCTCAGTGAATCCTATTATATTGTAGCCCTCTGTTTGAGGTGAAGCCCATAATGAGCTAGAAGGCCATCTCTGAGAAAACGTATCCCGTGGTCCCAGAACCCAAAGCGCCCCTGCCGGCACCACCATCTCAGCCAATGATTCAACTCGAGTATGGTCTGTTCTCTTCGCACTCATCTTCGTATTACTGGAAGGATAGAAGAGAATACCACCTGTGCTCCCAATGCCTTCAACTGCCTTCCAAGAGCTTCATAAAGGTAAAGGTTCCCTTGCTCGAAAGCCAGTCGAATCCGACTCTAGGGTTGCGGTGCTCATCTCCGTTTCAAAGCTGAAGAGCCAGCGCTATCCGAAGACGTTTCCGTGGTCATGTGGCCAGCATGACTAAACACCAAGGCGCACGGAACGCTGTTACCTTCCCACTTAAGTGGTACCTATTTATCTACTTGCAATTTCTTGCTTCCGAACTGCTAGGTTGGCAGGAGCTGGAACTAGAGACGGGAGCTCACTCCGTCATGCGGCCCACTTGGGTCTCAAACTGCTGAACTACCGACCTTTCACAGCCTGCAGTTCAGCGTCTTAACCACTTGAGCCACCGCAGCTACATCTAAGAGCTTCATAGTCCTCTTTAATTTTTGTGATGGTATTCGTGGCCATGTCATTCGTCCCCACATGAACCAGCACAATTGTGTACTGATCAATAGGTCTTATCAGTTTTGGCAGTCGGTTAATATCCTGAATTATGGCCCCAGGTAAGCAACACATCTCATGGAGTAGAGGATCTGGCCTGGACACATTACATTCCATACCCCTGAGCAGAGAGTTCCCGATGACCACCCCCTTTCCGTTTCCTTCCACTTCCATGCGGCACCATGTCCTCTTCACTCCCCTTTCCAGGTCTTTGTGGCTCTCCTTCCACTCTCATCTCCATCACCCTCTCAAGCACCTCAAAACGATTCTTGAGCGCCAGTGGACCAGAGCATCGTCTTAGTTGACGGCTTTGGGTTTGTACTGTAGAACTGAGAGGAGGTGCCCGCTTATGGTGGGAAAACTCCCAGCAATTTTGGCTGCTGCCCACCCACATTCAGCTGGTTGACGGGGATAAAATGCCCAGCCAAAAGCGGGGGGCAGTGATCGTCCTCCCCATGCAATAATATCACTTCTGGCATGACCCAGAAGCACCAGTATTGCATCAGGGCAACACTCCAGCTGGGGGGCAGTGATCTATGGTTTCCATAGAGTTTTTGGGCAAGTGCTAGAGCATTGCTCCCGCACAATGCCAATGTTTTTGGATCTTACCAGAAGTGACATCATTGAGTGAAAGTGACTATCATGCCTCCCATGGCAAGTACCTTCCTCCCCTTATCTCCTGCTGGTTGCCTGGCAACTCTGAATCCACTACCACCCACATCCAAGCATTTAATCAGTACGCTTTATTTGGCAACTGCTAATACCAGTTCTGTTTTTCATTTCAGACAGCACTTTGTTTGAGAGCTACACAGAGGGAGAAATCCGCCAGCTGATCTCTACCTTAATTGAGCGGTACAGCCAGTCAATGAACTCTGGAGGCCACGAGCTGCCATTGTTCACCAAAGCCGCCAACCGGATGAAGCGCGCCAAGGCCCACCATAAGCCCTGCTCCCTCAAGGAACTGGAGGTCACTGTCAGTGAGTTAGGCCTGGGCTACACATCAGACGAGACAGTGTTGTTCCGCTACTGTAGCGGCACCTGTGATTCATCCGTACGGAACTATGACCTGTCTTTGAGAAACGTGCGGAAGATGAGGAAGATCAAGAAAGAGAAAGTGAGGGCCCGGCCATGCTGCCGCCCCCTGGCGTATGACGATGACATCTCCTTCTTGGACGCAGGGAACCGTTACCACACGGTGAACGAGGTGTCAGCCAAAGAATGCGGTTGCGTGTGAAGGGAGGAGCGGGAGGAAGGAGGGAAGCAGGAGAGTCCGGTTGCCCGCAGAGCAGCACCTGGAGGCTGCCGACACAAGCGTGGTTGTCCAAAGACGAGAATGGACGAGGAATGGGAAGAGACACCTTCACGCGGAACAGCTAGCTGGTGTTAAGTCTACCTCAGTACTGCAGATGGAAGTGCAGGGAAACTCTGAACCATCCGCTAGGCCCTGGGGCCTGTTTATCTGCTGGGATATAAAACAAGCTTACAAGCATTTGTGGCATCACCATTTCATGCCATTTGGAAAGAGCTAGCTGGTGTTAAGTCTACCTCACTACTGCAGATGGAAGTGCAGGGAAACTCTGAACCATCCGCTAGGCCCTGGGGCCTGTTTATCTGCTGGGATATAAAGCAAGCTTACAAGCATTTGTGGCATCACCATTTCATGCCATTTGGAAAGAGATACCTTCCGGCGCGATGGCAGTAGGTAAACCCTTCAGGTCTGCAGTTCTAGCCCAATGGTTGGCCTTGTTCAGAATGGGGTCTGTCCCGAGTGTGGTTGGAATGTCAGGAAAAGGCCTTCTCGTTCTAAGCTTTGCATACCAAAATGCTACAGAGAGAGGTGTGTGCTATCTTGCTGAGGGGTTATTGGTTTCCTATCAAACAGGCTGTGGTCGACGACATGGAGAGAGCGTCTGGAAAATCCGGAGACCTTTATTTGAATTCTTCCCTGTTGGCCATTGGAATCGGGGCCAGTTTTGTGCGAGCTGACACTTTTGACCCTGGGGAGAAATGGCTGGCTGATCAAGGACATATTCTCTCATGCTGTAAGACCGAGATCATACTATTATTTTAATGTACATGCACAGTATAACCATGCTGTGTCCAACAATATGCAAGGAATGTAGACAGCTTTAAAATATCAACGAGTTATGTACAAAATGCTGCCATTCCTTACCGGGCATTGCATCAGCTTCTTCCCAGCTTGATTCCTAGCTTTCAAAACATCCCCCTTTTATCCCTTAAATTAAATTGGAGGAACACTTCACCCTTAGTGCCAAAGAAATTTACCATTGAAGTGTGTATACAAACAAAAATAACCCTCTTCCCCATCTTCCAGCATAGCTTTCTGGATCTAGGCACGTGTCCTGATTGTGTACATAAGGTACAAGTTGCTATCGATTTATGGTGTACAAGTTATTGTGTACAAGTTGCTATCGATTTATGGTGACCCCAGCAAGGGGCTTTCAAGGCAAGCGAGAAGCAGAGGTGGTTTGCCATTGTCTTTCTCTTTCTTGGTGATTCCCCCATCCAAGCACCAACCCAGCTTAGCTTCCAGGGTCTGACGAGATTGGGCTACACCATACCGCCTTCCCTTCCATGTCCTGGTTGGAAAGGAGGGAAGTCAGAGCATGGTGTTTGTGTGCTGTGGTTTCTTCTTCTGGGCAAGTCATTCATCTACATGACCTTTCCAGCAGAGGATGAGGGCCTTGCTCCCCCTCTATTTCTATAACGTTCTCATATTTTGCTCTGTGCTGCATTACATTCCTTCCGAATTCTTGTTTTTGGAGAATTTCTGAAATGAATTCCACGATGCTCAGTTCCTTCTGTTCGTTTGCATCTTTCCCATCTTGCCCTTGATGTTGCCGATGAGCATGGATAAAACACTGCAGGAAACCCATTTTGATGGGATCGCATGCATCAATATTTATCTTCGTGGTGTTTTACCAATGTACATTGGTCTGCATTTAGGAGACACTGCAGATGAGCATTCTTGATGGTCTAATTCATATTGTAGCGGGCTCATGCCGTTCTCGCAATGCGCAAGAGAGCATGGGAGCATTGGTAAAGGCTTGCACCAAAAGAACCTTGACACTGTCATCTGTACGAGGGCATCAAAGCGACTTCTTAAAAGTATTTATCAATGGACGTAGCCCATTGTTAATGTGAGAGGGGAGAAGGCATGAAGAAAGGGAAAGCTGCATCGAATTGCACATGGAGGATTCATGGTGCCTCAGTTCCATCTTGGAAACAAGACCGGGTCCAAAATTTAGGAAGCAGTTCAGTCGAGAAGAAGTTTGGACACATCCCTAGTTACACTCTTGTGATTTTAAGCAGGGCTGCCTCGTTCCATCTGAGCATGGAAAGGGGTCTCTAGAGAAGCATGGATGAGGGTGTCTGTGGCAGGAAGGGGAATTTTGGAATTGGCAAATATAGCATTTACACGAACATCACTGTTGTTTACTCTGGGCGGAAATAAATGATCTCTGGGACGCCGAGCCAGTGGCATTTGTCTCCTGGAAGAAGGCTGTTTTCTCTCTCTCCCTCTGGCTTGGCTTTGTTCCTAGGTAAAGAAAACGCTAACCAGGAGGCGCTCATCCCCAGTTCCCTCGCTCCTGGAGGCCGTGAATGAAAACAGTGGGATGTGAGCAAGCGCAAGGCCCATCTTTTAATCATGAAAACTATACACACGACTGGACTAGGGCCAAGAGCTGAACCCTGACCCATGTAAGAAAGCACAAAAGGGTCCTCGTGGGCTCGCATACTTCTGCCCGATTGTTCTTGAACCGGAGAGATAGGATCAGCAGCAGATAGAGAGTTTTTGAGCCTGTGCTTACTGACCACAGACAAAAATAGCGGTGATGGTATTTGCAGGGGAAAGATGGCAGTTGGGAGGAGGGGCTTTATCCCCCCCCCAAGCTACTTTTCTTCTGCAGCTCTCCAACCCAGCCCCCCTTGATGTTTCCCCCTGCTGTCTGGTAAATCTGGTCTCAAAATCATGCTGGGAGGAAGTGGCCAGGGGGAGGGAAGGAACTGTGTGGAAACAGGTGGGGTGTGCGAGCTTCTCCCCTCGGAACTGCTGCTCTCAAAGAGGGTGTGGTAAGCCACTTTGGATCTTCATTGGGGAGAAAAGTGGGATATAAATAGGGTTGCTATGTCCTTCCTCGCAATCAGCGGGAGGCAGGAACAGACGTACGGGCTGCAGGAGGATGCCTAGAATGACATTGCAATGACATCTCTACTGGTGTGCACTGGAAGTGATGTCGTCACTTCACTGATGACATG